ATATGAGAGAATGACGTGATGCATCTTAATTAAACTAACATAATAATTGCTATATACAATTAACATTTTGACATACCTGCCGAGATTATGTTCCTCAAAAAGCCATGACTCCGGGAAATATTTCCTCACCGTTTGAGGTGGAGCTTCTGCTACAAACAGTCCTTTATCTGCAACATAATTTGCTTGTTAAAATTGGCTTGTTTTCTGTTTTCTGTGTATCCTTAATGTAAGTGGTTTTACGTAACGTTTAACGCAATTGAAATCATTTTTAAAAAGCTGACTTCAACCCCGCCTGTCAGGACCAACCTGGGGTCTGAACAAGATATTTCACTCCAGTAGAAAGACCAACATACTCGATAAAAATATCTCCCCACACAGGAAACGAACTCAGTTCTCACATGAGTGATGGCAAAGCAACTAAACGCTATACCGCAGACGTCGAAGTTTCATCTGCTCATGATACACAACCATATACAGCTCTAATGGGGCAACGTTTAGTTATAGTTATAGACTCCCGCACTTTGTTTCAAATAGTATTATCGTGCATGAATCGTTCAATATTTGTCACCATTGTACTTGTAGTGCTTAGAACGACCAAATGTTTTTGGGTCAGTTATTTATTTTTCTTATTTAGGTGGTTCTTTTTTTCATTAAATGAAGCTGGAACTCAACCTACAAGTGTCAATAACTATGCCATTTTTGACTGAGTAGCAGCAGCAGCTGCAGCAGCAGTTAAACAGTAGTAGTAGTAGTAGTAGGAGTAGGAGTAGTAGTAGTAGTATTAGTATAACCATTTTATTACTGTTTTTATTATTATCATAGTTGTTGCTGTTACTGTTGTTGTTATTGTTGTTGTTGTTACTAGTATTAAAAGCATTCCGTTTGTATTATTCTTATGGAATGATTACAGATTCCATTTGCCTACCTGTCTTTTTAACATGATCCCTGAACCCACTAGGAATTTGGGAGATAAATCCTCCAGGTCGTAATGGTCCAGTTGGTCCAACTGGACCTATGTTGGCTTCCCCTTTACGAATCGCCACTGTTCCTTCAAAGCGCCCTATGATGGCGTCAGAATCTACGTTGTAAGGGGCGCTTGAGTCAACCAGGCGATGAATTAGACCAGAATTCTAAGAAGAAAACACAAAACTCAATAATTATATCGATGATGTCGTTCTTTAGCCAAGGCAGTTAGATATTCGGAAATATTTGTATACTTTTGTGTAAAAAATATAGGGGCCTTGTTAAGTTTAGTGCTTATAGCGCTATATATATAATTTTTTAAAAAGAAAAAACAAAACAAAACAAAAACTATAGAATATTGCTTAACCATGCCTCAGAGGAGTTACAATCAACTGTTAATTCATCAAAAGAAAGAAATCAATTTTGCCATAATCACTGTTCAATCGGAAGTCTAATTTCAAACGGCTATGTGGCATATGAAGTGACGAGAACACACACACACACACACACACACACACACACACACACACACACACACACACACACACACACACACACACACATACAGACACACACACACACATACACACGCAAATACACAGAAATACCAGCGAAGCAGGAAATATTTTAGAAGGACACATTCATGTGCATTAACATTAAATATTTCATCGGAGCCTCAACAACTTTTACAGAAATAGATGATACAGTTCTGCTAGCAAACATGAACAAAAATCTTTCTAAAATTGTGAAAATAGTGAAAGTGAACAGCAGCAAGGCAGGCCTCGACATGAACGTCAAGTAAACATAAACAATTTTCTTATCAAAATCTACTGGAAAAACAACAGATATAACCATAGATGGGGAGAGAATCGAACAAGTGCACCAATTGAAGTATCTAGGGGCAACAATCACAGACGATGGAAAAAGTGAAAACGAAACAAGCATAAATAACTGCAGAAAACAAAACAAGATTCAGTCAAATGTACAAACTATTTAGATCCAGGCAACTATCTCTCACTTTAAGAAAGCAAATGCTGGAATACTACATCTTCCCCATGTTCCCATATGGCACAGAGACCAGGACTTTGCTAAGGACAGAAGAAAACAAAATGAATGCGTTTGAGATCTGGTGCTACCGTAGAATGACCTGCATAAGTTGGAAAACAAAAAAGACAAACAATGTGGTGTGTCAGATTCTACATACAAGACAAACCCCTGTTGAATAAAATAAAAATAATAAGTAGAAAAATACAATACTTTGGCCACTTAAAACGACACGAGACCATTGTGAAAGAGGTGCTGAAGGAAAGATGTGGGGCAGGAGAGCCAGAGGAAGACAAAGAATAACCTGGATGGACAACATAAGAACATGGACTGGACTGGATATGGCAGAATATGCAACGACAGCTAGCGACCGTGAAGGATGGAGGGTCATTACACGTCAACCTCTGAGTCAGAGATGTCACCACCAGGTATCCAGGTATTTCGCACACATTGACACAACAATGGGACATTTAAAATTTGGTAAAAACAAAGACATATTGGTTGGAGGAAAACATCGGTGGAATAATAAAAGAATTGAAGTTCCCAAACAAATAGCTTTCTCTCTCTCTCTCTCTCTCTCTCTCTCTCTCTCTCTCTCTCTCTCTCTCT